GGGCCCCCCCCCCCGGGGGGCCAAGGGGGGGGGGGGGGGGGGGGTTGGAGAGCTCCGGGGGCTCCCAAGGAGGGTGAGGCCATAGCCCCAAGTCCAGGGAAGGAGATGGCCTTGCAGTTGGGCCCTGAAAGACTCACAGAGTTTTTAAAGGCATTTTATTCTTTTCTAATCACCAGTGTGAAGTATAACAGTTCAAAATACTGTTTTTAACTCTAAAGTTTTAACTTCAAATTAGATTATGGTATAATGCGGGGGGCGGGGTGCTTATGTTAAGAAATCTGTGGATCTATCACTGCTATATTTCAGAGCTGGGGGGGCTACAAGGTATTTCTATCATCAGGCGAGCTGAGTGTTTTGCAAGCCACGGATATATGTGTGTGTTTGTGTCTTTTTATCTCCCTTTTTATGTCCCTGTTCAGATTCAAAGCACTCCTCTCCAGCAAGCCGACAAATGACAGCACCTGCATAGAGATCGGTTATGTGAAGTACCCCATCTTTCAGGTGAGCCCCTGGGGTGGTCTGGAACTCCATGCTGGCAGGTGCAGGGCACAGGCCTCCATCCTCAGCCTGTGGATTAGCCACTTGGAGAAGTCCCTGCAACATGTTATTAGTCTCCTGCACTCTTGGCTCCTCCTCCCACTGCCCCTTCCACGCCCGTCCGTTCATCCCTGCAGTATTCATTGATCACCTGCTATGCCTGACATTGTGCTGAGGGCTGGGATAAAAGGACAAGGATAAAGGACACCCTGTCTTGGGAACTCACAGTCTAGAGGAGGTGCCATCTGAGCAATTAGTCAATTGCAATATACTGTGGGATGCACGAGAGAGGAATAGACCAATGTGCTGTGCAACTCAGACCAGGGAAACTGGGGAAGGCCTCCTGGATGAGGCGTGATGAGCCAAATATCCAAGGCTGATGAGGAGTCAGCAAGCCAAAGAAAGGTTAGGGATCAAGGAAGGGGGTAAGAACATTCCAGGCAAAGAGAACAGAATGTATGAATTCCTGAAACCGTGGGTGAGCCCAGCATGGTCAGGAACTGGTGGGCTTTTAGGGAATCCAAAGTCATTTTAACATTAGTCTGAATCTAACATAAATAGAAAAAGAAAGCTCCTTTGTCATCTGGTGATGACCATACCATGTCTCCTGTTTGGGGGAAGTTCATCTCATCTGACCCTTCCAGCTGCCCTGCCAGGCAGCTGTAACCCCCCTTTACAGGTCCAGACCTGGCCTTAGAGAGGTGAAGTGCATGGCCTGAGTTCCCACTGCTGCTCCTAGCAGAGCTGAGGTTCACACCCAGGCTTGGTGGAGTCCCGGACTTGTTCTTTTAACTGTCTCCCTCCTGTGAGCACTTGGGCCCTCCCTAAAATCACCCAGCCCTGAGGAAAGAATCATAGGGCCCATTAGAGTTTGGAGCAGGAGCTGGATGCTGAAAAATGGGTGCCCCCCAGCTCTCTGAGTCCTCATGAGGGGGCACATACACCATTAAGCCTGGGACTAATTGGGGAGCTTCCTGTAATAAGAACTTGGCTCATAGTAGGCACTCAATAAATGTTTGCCAAGTGGATTCACTGAACGAGAGATCTCCATGGGAAACAACGGCCTCAGAGGAATCTCGAAGCCTGTAATTGCTTTTGACTGGGGAAGGTTTCTTGGTCATATTAGCCTCAAGTCGCTGTAATGGGAAGAGAGGATTCAGCAGGCCCCAGGGACTTTTCCATGTGCCTGCCCCTTCCCCATAAAAGACGTAAAGCCTCATTTATGGCTTGAAATAGGCCAAGGAGGGCTGAATCTGACCCAGCAGGAGGCTCCCAGGGGCCTGTTCACTTCCCTTCCATGCTGACAGAAGAATTTCAGTAAATGAGACTGCTTTGGGTTTCCTCCCCACAAATCTGTTTAACATCACACGCAGGCAAGAGCTGGATGCAACTCAGACTGCACCTGGAAGTGGGGCCTCCGTGAAGCTGTGGCTGCTGCTTGAATCTCTTCTTCATGCAGGTTGGCAGCAGCCAAGAAAAACAACTCCACAAACAGTCCCTTCGGCCTCATAAGGGTTCACTTCACCCCCTTGCAGAAAAGGCAGAGCCTGAAGGTGGCATGGGACAGCCCAATTTAAATTCCATTAGCCCCAGGATTTCCGTCCACAAAGGAGCAGCATTTGAATGACCCAACCTTGAATAAATGAGATAGCATGGTAGAGAAGTGCTTTGTAAACAGAGGCAGTTGTTATTATTATGGCTCTTATTATGATTATTGGTATGGCCTTTATAGAAGAGAGGTGCTAGGGGAATAAATTGATTTTAATAAGGCCAATATCCCAACATTCGCTGACTTGGTATTTCAGATGCTTATGACCGACCCATCGGGTGGGAGAGGGGAGGGGAAACCATGCTGTGTTATTTCACAAAGCCTCAGCCACCACCATCTCTGCAACAGGGAGGTGGTCACAAAAGCCCAAAGTCAGTATGTGGGAGACTCAAACACAAAAGAGGGAGGGGAGGATTCGTGCGTCTGTTTCAGGTGTGCACATTGCACATCATGTGTTTGCCACATGGCAGTCACTGGGACATAGCCATGGGCAGGACATAACCTGTGCCCTCAAACTCTAGTGAAAAATGACACTGCAATCACAGGTGACATTCTGCCTGACCGGACACCGCGTGGGAACAGCCAAGAGATCTAAACAGGCTTCCCAGTGGAGGAGACCACTGAGCTAGATCCCAAAGGAGGGGGCAGAGTTCAACAGGGAGAGAAGAGAGGGAGAGCGTCCAAGCACAGGGAACAGCGTGGGCAAAAGAATGGCACTGGGGGAGGTTCTGATAAAGGCAAGTGGTTGGAAGCAGTCAGAGCATAAAAAGAGGATATGATCAGGATTAGGAGGAGGGAAAGGCAGAGTGGCAGGTGAGATCTGAGGAAGGAAACTGATGCACGAAAATTCATAGCAGCGATATTCATAATGGCCAAAAAGTGGAAACAACTCAAATGTCCATCAGCTTATGAATGGGTGCATGGAACGTGACATTTACATGCAATGGATATTGTTCAGCAATAAAGAAGAATGAAGCACTGGTACATGTGACAACAGAGTGAGCCTTGAAAACATCATGCTAAGTAAAAGAAGCCAGACACCAAACCACACATGTCATATGATTCCATTTATATCAAACATCCAGAATAGGCACAGCCATAGTGGTTGTCAGGGGCTGGAGGGAGGGGGACATAGGAATGACTGCTAATGGGTATAGTTTCTTTTAGGGGTGCTGAAAATGCTCTAAACTAGATTGTGGTAGTGTTTGCACAACATTGTGAATATGCTAAAAACCACTGCACTGTATACTTTAGGTAGGTACATTTTGTTACGTAAAATATATCTCAAAGCTGTAAACAATATTTTTTAAAAATATATTTTAAAGGGCCAGCCCAGTGGCGTACTCGGTTGAGTGCGGCGCTTGGGAGCGTGGCGGCGCTCCCGCGAGGGTTCGGATCCCATATAGAGACCGGTCCGCTCACTGGCTGAGCGCGGTGCAGGTGCGACACCAAGGGTTGCGATCCCGTTACCGGTCACGAAAAAAGACAAAAAGGAAAAAAAAATGTGTGTGTGTGTGTGTGTGTGTGTGTGTATATATATATATATACACTAAATACACACACATACACAGTAGATTGAGACCAGTGGCAAAGGGTCTCAAATGGCCTGTTGAGAACGTGTCAACATGTGACAGAAGCACGTGGAAAAAGATTTTTCAACTGCAGAGAAAAGTAAGAAGCTGACATTTACTGAGGGCTTGCCGCATGTCAGGCTCCTGCTAGGCCTGTTACATGTGTTAATAACTTGTCTAATCCTCATCACACCCCCGGGAGGTAGGTAATGTTATCCCCACTTTACAGATGATGAAACTGAAACACACAGAGCCTCACTTAATTCAGGTCATCCAGCTTTTAAGTGGCAGAGCCAGACCAGAAACAGAGGCAGCCCAACTCTAGGGTCCTTGCTCTTAATCGCTATCCTATATTGGTCACACTGTCCCAGCCTGAAGGGACATAGAGGGTGGCCCAGTCCAATATTGTCATTCTATAAGTACCCAAAAAGGGGTGTAAACAGTTTACAGGTTGTGCCAACAGCTGCCTTAGAGCCAGGGAGGTAAAGCCAGCTTGTCAGGCAGGCAGATAGAGGACAATAGGGAGCAGAGGAGACTGGGGCAAAATGGAGAGAGTATGCACCACCTAAAAACTAACACTCAGTTGTTGTGGGAGGTGACAGCAGATTCAGATGCATCCGTGGGCCTCATTCCATTGAAGGGACACCAGTTGAACAGCTCTGGAACATTGCACACCATTCGGGCATTGTGAGCCACATGAACAAAGAACAGCCTGGCTTGCACTATTCATACCATAAAATATATGGAACACAGAAAACACAGAAACCCTGGGCCCGTGATGGCTTCATCTGGGATCTTGTCAAGTTGTAATTAGGAACAGGTGGTCCCATGGTATCCCAGAGTCATTATCTAGGACTTCAACAAGAGGTTTCAAGTCAAACTTGGCCATATTCCCAAGGGAATGGCCCACTGGGGCAGGCTCTTTAAGCCATGCCACATGTGCAGCAGTTCTGGGCAGCATGACTGAGGTGGGAAGGCAACCCATGATTGTCATCCATAGATGGGGAAATGTCATGAGGAGCAGAGTCTAGGACTGTCTGATTTGGTCCTGGGGGTGGGCATGGAACCAGGGGCTGGAAACCACAGGGAGACAAATTTCAGTGTGCTATCAAGAAAAACTATCCAACTGATACAACTCTTTAAAGTGGAACTTCTCCCCTAAGGTAGTTGGCTATCGGTCATTGGCAGAGGTCACATAGAAATGAGTGCCCATTTGGAACAGATGTTCTAGAGGCCTCAAGAACTAGCCTGGATTGTACTGGCCAGTTAGCTCAGTTGGTGAGAGCACGGTGTCAAGGGCAAGGGTTCAGATCCTTGTATCGGCCAGCCACTGCCCCCTCAAAAAAAAGACGTTGGCTGGATGGCTTTAAGGTGACATGACTGTGCACGATTGACACTTTGCTCACTGTGTCCTGTCTTCCAGCTGGTCATGCAGTATCTCTACTGTGGTGGCCCAGAGTCCCTTCTCATCAAAAACAACGAGATTATGGAGGTAAGGAGTCCATCGTGTCGTCGGCCTGTCTTGGCTGCCCTTGGGCAAGTGGCACCTCCGTGTACTCAGGTCACTGGCATGCATCAGCAGTGTCTGGAGGGACCTGTGTTGGATTTTCATCTGGTGAAGGCTTTGGGCTCTTGTTCCTTCCTGTCTTAGTCCTTCCAAACAGGAAGGGCTTCTTATCACAGCCCTTCGCTGGAAGGCTGGGGGTGCTCGTTTGCTAGCCCAAACCCTCTCTGGAGCCACTGAGTGAAACCCCACTTTAACTGGCTGGCAGGGAGGAGATGAAGGAAATTTACTAAAATGTCCGAGGCTAGCACTAGAGTTTGCTAGCCCAAACCCTCTCTGGAGCCACTGAGTGAAACCCCATTTTAACTGGCTGGCAGGGAGGAGATGAAGGAAATTTACTAAAATGTCCGAGGCTAGCACTAGCTCTGGGCACAGCTGGGGCTCTCATATCGTCATCAGGAAGTATCCTAGCTGGCTGCTGCTTTCTCCCCTGTCATTTATAAAAGTATATCCCCTATAAATATTCCTTAAATCACAACGTTGTCCATTTTCCCAAGCTGCAGAAGCCAAGAGTGGATTACAGATCTCTCCTCGGCTTTACTTGGGTTGACTGTCCCTTACTCACACAGCACACTCCTGCACACCTGCCTCCTTGACCGTCCTTCTGTCCCTTGTCCCCTCTCATAATTCAACCTGCTCTAGCCTTCCTTGTCCAGAAACTTGTTTCTGCTGCCTTCTGTCCAAGGCCAAGATTTCCCCCTGTTCCTTCCCAGAAGTGGAACTCTTGACAGCTTTCGTAATCAAAGCTGGGAGTTTTGAACCAGAAACAAAAATCACTCTGATAACCCTCAGTTTCAAAAGAGCCGAGATCCTGTTGATGTCTAAAGTCCAGGGTGCCTGGCTAATGAGAGATGTCAGAACACTATCAGTTGTTCAAGAGACCCCACACAGCGGTTAAAGCATGGACTCTGGACCAGACCGGGTTTAAATCCAGGCTCTGCCACTTCTGAGCTGTGTGATCTTGAACAAGTTATCTCTGATCCTCTCTGATCCTCAGTTTTCTCACCTGTAAAATAGGGATAACCATATCTGCCTCACTGGGTTTTCAAGAGGATTTAAAAAGTTTTTATAAGGTGCTTAGAACAGTGCCTGGCACACAGTGAGTACCATTAGGGCTTTGTGTTCACTGCATGGCCCATTTATCATTTTCTTACTCTGTGAAACCTTCCGTGGTCATCTTCCCCCAACCCCCCAACACACACACACACACACACACACACACACACACAGAGTTACTGTCCTGTCTGGACCACTCTCCTGATGGTCACTGTCTGAAGGCAGAGGCTCTTTTGAAAACATTTTTTTTAAATGATTTTAAAATCAAAACAATGACTATATATTTAAGTGATGTAAATCACACAGAAGGTCTTGGAATAAAAAGCACCTGCCCCAGGCCCAGCCCCACCCTGCCCTCCCTCGGTCCTTTTCCCCAAAGGCCAACCTTTGAACTGTGCTTTTAGTTCTTTCTTCCCTTCACCAAAACCTGTCATTCTCTCAGCACACATCTGTTGAGCATCTTCCCATGCTGGCACCGTGCTCAGGGCCAGGATATAGCAAAGATCCTGTCCTCCTGGCCACTGGTGAGGGAGGGAGACATGGTGTCACGTCCAGAGTGGGAAGTGGTATAAGGAAAAGACAGGGCGAAGGGGACAGGTGGGGATGGAGGGAGGCCACCTGAGGTGGGGTGGTCTGGGAGGCTCCTCTGAGGAGGTGACATTTGAGTGGAGACCTGGACAACTTGCTAAGTAATTCTGCTCACCCTTATTTGGGGACATGACAATTTCTGGCATTTTGGTTGGACCTCCTGCTATCATAGGTGTGAATTTGGTTCACTATGCCCCACTCCTTCCCCTCTGCCATCTCACCCCACAATGGAGTACAATCACAGTCTTGTTCCTCTAGTGTGACCCTGGTGTTGTATCTCCCGTTCCCTCGTCTGTGACAGCCCTGTGGAAGAGGATTTTTCTCACCATGTACATCCTCACTGTTACACCCTTTCCTTCTGCCTCCCAACCTCTAACAGGCTCTTCTTATGTTTTTAGCTTCTCTCTGCTGCTAAGTTTTTCCAGCTGGAGGCTTTGCAGCGACACTGTGAGATTATCTGTGCAAAAAGCATCAATACTGACAACTGTGTGGATATTTACAACCATGCCAAGGTAATCAACGCCATTCTCACTGCCCCGTCTACACATGGGGTGCTAGGGGGCTGGGGGGAGGCTTTTCCTTTGCAAACACTCTGGATCGGGGCAGAGTGGATGCTGAGCCTGCTCGCTCAGGGCTGAGCCACTGGATTTCTTGCCTTTCTTCTCCTAATCCCTCCTCTCTAGAAGATAAGGAAAGTGGGAACCCAGAAGTTTCAAAAGCAGAATTGTTCTCAGACAGTGCTTCTGAAACTCTCCTGCACATATGAGTCTGCACATGGCAGGCTCCACAGGCCTGGGCTGGGCCCTGCTTTTCTAACAAGCTCCCATGTGATGTCTCTGCTGCTGGTCTGAGTGACACTTTGAGTAGCGAGGTTCTACAACAGTGGTTCTAGAAGTGTGGTCTCCAAGCCAGCAGCATCAGGAAGCTTGTCAGAAGAGTACATTTTTGAGCCCCACTCCAGACCTACTGAATCAGAAACTGTGGGGTGGGGCCCAGACATCTGTGGCTTCGCAAGCCCCCAGTTTATCTGCCCAAGGGTGAGAACCACTGTTCTAGAATTGTTCTCACATTACGGTCAGCTGGGCACTCTCTTCCAGTCCCAATGCCTGGGACCTATCACAGACCAATTAAATTAACTTCTGGGGGTAGAGCCTCGGAAAAGGCATTTTCAAAGCTTCCCAGATGATTCTCAGATGTGGCCGAGGTTGAGAACAGGTTGTCAGCACTGGAGGGGACCTTGGAGTCCACCTAGTCAGGCAGACTCAGCACCTGGCTCATGATCAAAATCACCTGGGGTGCTTTCTAAATGTCTCTTTAGTCCTCCTACCCCCGATGACCACAGTACTATCCCTGCAGAGTCCCAGGAATCTGTATTTTTAACAAGCTCCCAGGGTGACATCAGCCTTAAGGCCAATCTTCATGCCGGATTTCAGAAACCACTGATTTCATCCCATTCATTTCACAAGTAGGGAGACTGGGCCCAGGGGAAGTAAAATAATTTGTCCAGGTGCCCCTTCATTTTATTTCATGTGCTGAGCACAGGGAGATTAATGACTGCTGGGAAGAAATGATGAAACCTGTTAAAATGAGGTATTAGTTTATAGCAAAATTTTCTTCCTTTCTATAACTGGAGCTCAGTACCCACATCTCCCATATCTACAGCTATGAGTGAGAACTGATGTGAATAATGATCTCCTTGCTCGTGAAAAATCAGATTACGTTTGCGATGTTGTTTGCTTGTTTTAAGCCAATATTCAATGATCCCTTTTATCATGCAGGCACCTGTGCTAAGGGCCTTGTTGCTTCATCTTTTTTAATCCCCACTGCCACCCTTTTAGGTAAATGCTATCATTAGTCCCGTGTCATAAGGAGACTGAGGCACAGAGAGGTAAAGTAACTACCTTAAGGTCACACAGCTAGTACTGAAATTTTTTTATTATAGTAAAATATGCATACATAGAACTTATACTTTAACCATTTTTAAGTGTACAGTTCAGTGGCATTAAGTACCTTCACACTGTTGTTCAGTCATCACTACCATCCATCTCCAGAATTTTTTCACCTTCCCAAACTGAAACGCCATCCCCACTAAACACTAACTCCCCATTCCCCTGGCAACCACCCTTCTTTCTGTCTCTGTGAATTTGACTACTCTAGGTACCCTGTATAAGTGGAATCATACAATATTTGCCCTTTTGTGTCTGGCCTATTTCACTTAGCATAATGTTTTCAAGACATCCATGTAGTAGCATGTATCAGATTTCCTTCCTTTCTAAGGCTGAGTAATATTCCATTGTATTATACACCACATTTTGCTTATCCATTCATTGGTTGATGGACACTTGGGTCGCTTCCACCTTTTGGTTACTGTAAATAAGGCTGCTGTGAACCTAGGTGTGCAGATATCTGTTCAAGTCCCTGCTTTCACTTCTTTTGGGTGTGTACCCAGAAGTGTAGTACTGAGATTTGAACACAGACTTGTCTCACTCCAAAGCACAGGTTCTTAACCCTGTGTTAACTGTCTGGCCTAATAAATATTTGAAATATTTTTAATAATCCGTGATATTCGAGAAAGGTTTTCTGATTAGCCATTAGTAAATCAAAAAGCACACTTAGTCTACTTTGTACACACACGGTGAATTGAGGATTATATCAAAATGTGGTTTCTCAGGACACCAGTGTTTTGTTTTGTTTTTTTTCTTTCTGTTTTTTGTTTTTTAATATTAAACTGATTACTTTGCATAAGAGAATCCAGAGAGACCCCTTCCCTACCCAGGAAGAGAGCCTGACCACTTTCGTGGTCCCCTGGCCATGGTCACTCAAATTGCCCCATGAACCTGACACCCACAAGTGGCTCTTCTGTGGCCTGTCATCGTAGCAGGGAGGCCTGTGTTCCATGATCCCATTTTAATCTCTTCAAACTCCTTGGCAGGCAGCTGCTGTAGCTCCTCTCCTTACTTAATAACGCAGCCCGAGGCAACGTGAACCCAGGCTGGAAATACTGGCGCAGAACACCACACCTGTGGCAGAGAAACCATCTCTATCATTTCCTTTCTTTCTTGGTGGCTGGCCAGCGAGGGGAGTGACGTTGGTGTTACTAGCCCCACGCTCTACCAAGTGAGCAACAGGACAGCCTCCCACACTTTTTTTTTAATGTTAAGCCAATCAATCCTATTATTCTGTGACTGATTTCTTTGTTTATTTCTGGCAGCTGGCCGGTACAGGGATCCAAACCCTTGATCTCAGTTGTCTCTTCCACTTATGTCGCTCTGCAGCTTGGACTTTGGCTTTTACAGGCACCAGCCTCCGCCTTGGCCTTCTTGGCCACATTCTAGAGTGTTTCTGTTGCTTATAACACAATACCCAGTACTGTGTAAGAAAATAAAATTTATTGCTTACAGTTTCTGAGACTGGTAAGTCCAAAGTGCAGGAAACACTGACGGTGAGGACCTTCTTTGGTGACTTTGGTGACACCTGGTCTCACATGGGGAGACTGGCAGAGCAGAGAGAGAGATTGTCATGTGCTCTCCTTTTAAAGAGCCCTCAGAACCTCATGACCACTATTATTAATCCATTCATTAGGGCTTGCTCCTCATGATCTAATCACCTCTTCAAGTCCGCACCCTTCAATTACCATAGTAGGATTTCCCACCCTCTTAACGCTTTCACAGTAGAGACCAAGCCTCCAACACATTAAACTTTGGGGGGACACAATTCAGTCCACAATAGTTTCCAACACAAATATCTGCCCTTCACAACATTTGCGTGGAGGGCCCAGCAATGCCAGCAACTGCTGCCCTTTCTATGCACCACTTTCCCTGTGCTACAGATGCTGCAGCCCCCAATAATGATCACATGCCATGTGGATTCTGTTACTGGCAGATTGTGCTGCAAATTTAGGCTAGTTTACTAAAAGAGTGGAAAAGAAACTAACACTTGCTTTGGAACCCCAGGAAACACAGGCATTTAGACACTAACAGCCATATTCTAAATGTCAACAAGGACCTCGGCAACATTACCTCTATACTACAGCTAGCTGTTTGAGACAGCTGTGGAAGATTACACAGATGAGAAGCCCATCCCATAAATGCACAGCTTAGCCATCTTTTTCCCTAGCAAAGCTGTCCCGAACTAGTCATGAAAAAGAGGCCCTAGAGCTTCTGATAGCTCTCAATTTGAGAAAAAGAACAAGCTAGCTCATCAAATTGAATCTCAGCTAATGTAGTAAGCTCAACAGTGCACCATGATGGAAAGAACACAGGTTTGGAAACTAGGGAACTCATTCATTAGTGTTTCTTGAGCTCCCACTATTTACCAGGAACTGTATTCATCAGAATATAATGAGAAATTAGTAAGACACGGTCTCTGCACTTGAAAAAACTATAGTCTAGGACAAGTTAGCAAACATGTTCTGGAAAGGACCAGATAAACATTTCCAACTTTGCAGACCATATAGTTGCTTTGGTACCTGCTCAACTTTGCCATTATAGTGCAAAAGCAGACATAGACAATTTGCAAATAAATGGTGTGGCTGTTTTCCAATAAAACTTTATTTACAAAACAGATGGTGGGCCACATTTGTCCCACAGGTCTGTAGTTTGCCAAACACTGGTCTAGGAGATGAGAGCTCCAATCTCAGTTCTGTCAGTAATTAGTTATGTGGAGATAGGCAATTGGCTGGTATGGAGTCATCATTCAATAAATATTATCAAATACTATATGCTTGTTATTCTCCACTTACACTACCTTGTGCTAAGTGACAAACATCTACAAAGCAAGTGCCAAGGGAGCTGGGGGAGCACTGTGTCCACAGAATCAGAGATAGGCAACTCTGAGCCTTGGTTTCCCCACCTGTACAATGAAGCCTTGTACTCTGACTATAAGAGCAGGGTTCATGTTGAAAGAATGAAATTATTCCTAAGATCTCTCCCAGCTCCAGGATTCTGTGCATGTATGTGAACATTTGTGTGGTAACAAGCCTGCTCACTGATAAACTTCATCAAGCTTTATAAGCCTCTTGGAGACCACAGAATGACCACGTATGTCCATGTCGTAAACGGCACAGCAGAGCATGGTACCTCTCTAGTTCACCCCCTTCATTTTGTAGCTGGGGAAACTGAGACCCAGAGAAGTGATTTGACTTGCACAAGGTCCTGGAGTGGAGGAATGGACTCTGGCCCTTTGCTGGGAGGAGCTGCAAAGTCACACCCCAAGGGTATGGATATAGCAAAGGGTGTTTGCCATTATTATATCTAAAGGCCTTCCAGAAGCATAACATCTCCTGCTTCCTCTCCACTCCACAGTTTCTTGGAGTCACAGAGCTCTCAGCATATTGTGAAGGCTACTTTCTCAAAAACATGATGGTCCTCATCGAAAACGAAGCTTTCAAGCAGCTGCTATATGACAAAAATGGTGAAGGGACGGGCCAGGATGTGCTCCAGGACTTACAGAGGACGTTGGCCATCAGGATTCAGTCTATCCACTTGTCATCTTCCAAAGGTTCTGTTGTATGAAACCTCCAGTGCAGCAAATGCTTCCTGGGAACTTTCCAGTTCTCCTGCTGCATTAGCTTTACACAAACACATACAAATTCCACCTGGAGTCTGTTTTTGGCTGGGACAAGGAGCTGCTCTACTGCCTCAGCTTCTATTGAATAAGCAAATTCAGCTCCCATGTGTTCCTGTTGAGAAACAAAAGACATTCCACTGGTCTGCAGATCAGATCACAGCTGAGTCCAGAGCCTGGAGGTCAACATAGGGCAGCCAAGCTAACCTTAACCAAGAGCACCCCTGGGGCCCTTGAACACCCACTGCTGGGACCACTGTCCAATGGATCGATCAAGATCTAAAGGTTGTTGGGGTTCCAGGTTGACAGCTGGAGAACTCAAACGTACCAACCCTGAAAAGCATTGTATTACACATTAAGGACCTTGGTAGCTGCAGTACAGCAAGCAGCCACCGTAGCAAATTGGTGAGGCTGTTACCCATAATGAGGAAATAATTTGGCAAATTTTTAGGGGTGGGAACTTTTTAAAATGTTCATAAAAAAAAAAAAGGGCAGTCTTGTAGTTTAAAATATATTTCTAAAAGCTTAACAGTTCATTTTCAACTGAATTGTGTTTAGGGATCTGTGTTTTGAGGGGTTTTTTTCTGTTTGTTTTTTTTTAAACAGTAAGTCACAGGTCCACACTGTGTAAACATGCATCTGATAAGATATTGCTGATAATCTATACAAGGTGAAATAATCTTGCCTTAGTGATCATGGTTACACAAAAGAGGTGCACTGCCAAAAATTATCACTATTTCAATAGTTGAAAACAACCTGCATGCTAATCGTGGTTTCGGGGTGAGAGAAACACACCCCCACATAACAAAACACGCATTTGCATGGGCCCAAACCTGTGAAATGTTACGTTTGTGCTTCATTTTTGCCAAGGTAAAAATGTTCATTACTTCTTGCTAGAAGTCCATTTGGTGAAACTAACATAACCATTTCAATTCCTAATTATGAATGATTCTAGGATGCTTTTGCAGAAATGTATTCATAGATGATGCTGAATAGGGGGTGGGGGGAGCACGTCCGAGAATTTACTATTAATCCCAGAGTTTTCTCTGTATTCTCAGAAGATGTTAATAGTTTGTTACTAGCCAGAGAATATGACTATGTTAGATTATTTTTAAAGATAAAACATGTATGATAGGATGGATTCTTTCTGTATTTGGAGAGTGTACAGTATAAGGTTATCTATAATGAAAGTTTATATCAACAAGGTTCTATTTGCTCTGCCATATGCTAAAAGCAAAAGAGATTGGTGAAGTGCCACAGTACTCCAAATAATTTTTCAGTTGCAGCCTTTTATCTCGTCCTTTAATTTGAAACCTAGATACATGTAGTAAAAACTAGGAGAATGAATTTTACCCTCTAGGATGGCGAAGTTTTGTTGATAAACCTATTTCCTAGCATGCCTTTGGGAAGTCGTGCCAGACCCTAGATTCTAAAGGTCTTGCTGTTCTTCTGTGGTCCTTGCTCCCTGAGCCATTGTTCAGAGGACTGATGTCAAGTTCTATTCTGTGGGTGTGGCCCGTGGAGCACCCAGGCCACGTCTGTCTACCATATTGGCTCTTCTGTGATGCTGATACACAGGCCTCTCTTCCACGTGGTCCTTTGCAAACCTCCCCGAATCCCTACCATAAATTAGGAAGGAAAAAAAAAAAAAACCTTCCTGTGGAGGAGTCCAAGTAACAGATACACATGGCACGTGTGTCGGGGCTGCCTCCTCCTCCTCCTCTGTGTCCTCAGAGATGCTGCTTGGATCTTTCGTTAAAGCTGGCTTCCCTGTGAATGTCTAATGCTAGTTCAGGGCCTGCAGGCATTGATTTGTACAGCGGCAACTCCCGACGGGGCTTCTGTTATAGTTTGGTGTGCTTTCTCTGTCATTAAAGAAATGATTTTCCCAAGCCGCGTGAGAACTTCACTCAGTTAAAAGATCGGAAAATGTGGCTCCGCAGAAAAAGTCAAGGGAAATGAGGACACTAGAGAAAAGATGGGTACCCCTGTTGCTGGCGGTGGGCAGGGGCTGACCAAGCTCTAGTTCCCAGGGTCTGCATACACTCCTGGGTGGTGCCCTCGGATTTCCTTCCCATCAGGCAGAGGAACTGCAGGTGCTGCCACTTGGGCTGCTGACATGGTACCTGTTGCCTACTGCTGTAACTCGCCTGCACAGGACGGAGTTCTGGCTGTCACTCGTGTGCCTTAATGACGCTTTGTGGGGCTGGGAGGATGGAGAAAGACAAATTGTCTCACATGGTGTGCCCCACCCAGGCCAGCATGAGTTAATGCTAGTGGATGGTGCCAGCATTCTGGGACGGGGACTTCATGCAGGCACAGGCAGCTCTCTTCTTGGGCGTCATCATCACCAAGGTCATACTGAGTCCCCAATTGGTCTGCTCTGACTCCTGACCAGCCTGGGCCCACCCCAGGCCTGTGTGGAGGTGAATACCCCTGGCTGATCCATAAAGGCCTAGGAGAAGTCAGTGCCAGGAGACCTGGGCCAGCGAGGCCCGGTAAAGAGCTAACATCACCCACTTCCCAAGCAAGACTGCTCACCCCAGCTTAGCAATCCGGGTCTGCTTCTTCTTTAAGAAGCAGCCAAAGCAACCAAGTGCCAGGGGCCAGAATTCTGAGTCAGGCCAGGAGAACAGAAGGTCAATTTACTGTTGACTGTGCATCACCCTCTGTGTAGCCTCAGGGCGAGTGAGCCATTTGATTTATTTCTTTTAGAAAGATGAAGTGTATGCTACTGCGCTGGCCTTTTGCTTGGATGACAGGTGGCTTTGTCATTCAGGCCTCAGCAGAGCCTGTACAAGGTCCCCTTAGCATCTGAGGGGGTGGGGAAAGGGGGAAGGAAACCTACCTGCCTGCCACAAGCTCTCCTCCGCCCTTGCATTTACAATGGGACACCAGAAGAGGTGTGTACAGGCAGCCACCCAATAAACATGAAGACCCTGACTCAGCTTGTGTCCACCCCCAGTCCATATACCTTCTTAACCTGTGCTGCTCTCTCTCTGTAGTAGCATCATAATCATAATGAAAGCCTAAGATCAATCAATGAATGATATAAATGTAGTCAACTGAAAGGGTCTTGGCAAATATGAGGTGCCATTCCCCCTGATTCAGCTTCTGTGTCCACCCCCACGTTCTCATATATACCATATGTGAATGCCATCCCTTCTACTCAAAAGAACGACAATCCTCCACCCAAAATGGAGATCAGGGTGTGTGCTCCCATCACTGAGGAGCCCAAGCAGAAACCGGAAGAAAGTGCAGTCCCACATCAGGATGGGGTTGGAGAGGGACCTCGGAGAGCTTCTCCACCCCTGGGCTTCTGGGACAGTTTTTGTACTGTGTTCTGTGATTCTGCTTTGGGATCTCCCAGTGTTTTTTTTCCTGCAAAGCCCCAGGCAAAAAGCATTTCTCCAACTGGATATTGTCTGATCAAGACTTTCATCACAGAGTGTTTTACCAACCGCGGGCTGGGTGGATGAAGGTTCTCTGAGAAAATCTCCTGTTTCACCTATCTTAGGTTCTCTGTCTTCAGAATTCAGTGCTCACCTCCCTCTACCCCTGCCCCACCTTGCACTTGACTCCTAGAGTCACAGATGAATGGTTGCAGAGTATTCACATCCTGCTACTTCTAATGCTATCTCTGAGATGCCTTCCAAGGCTCAGTCAGTTTCCCGGGTTTCTCAACTTGAGAGTTCCATTCAGAGAGACATTTATTGAGCAAATTCTGTGCAGCACTGATTGCTGAGCTCCAGACTCCAGCACAGACCCAAAAACCTTCCCTTCCAACTGGATCCAGCCCCTGACTAGCTTGGAGACATTAGAAAAGTTACTTACTCTATGTAGTTTTCATTCCCTCTTTTGAAAAATTGGGCTTAATGGTAGTTAATAGGGTTGATGGGAGGATTAAAAGATATTTTGTATGGGTCCCACACTGTTGCTAGCAGAGAAAAGGCATTTCCAAACTTCTAAGACTGAGCAAAGGAAAGGAGAAATTGGCAATTCATACAAGGAAAGGAAGGTTGATGATTTTGCCCTTCTTTTGAAAGAAACCAGCATGAATGTGTCACCCCAAAATATGCCTCTTTAACATAAATATTTTTGAACTAAAGGCAAGTATACAGCAAATGGAAGGAGAGCTCTTTCTGTCCTCCCCTGTTTCCACCTAAAGACAGGATATAAATTCTCCTTTACTGGAGACAACCCTGATCAGCTCAGGGACAGCCTCAGAGGACTCTGCCAAAAAAACTTTAATCCATTAGTTTCTTCTTATACATTTACCTTCCCACAGTTTTCCACCTCTGGAAGCCTAAAACCACCACTTTCCTTTGTCCTGTCACTTCTCAAAAATGCATTGTGCTTCACTGAAGATGTTACATAAGCCAGAGTTTTAAGCCACTACTTTTGAGTTACCTTTCACGGAGGCTTCCCCTGCATGATACACACTGCATGCATTAATAACCTTGCTTGTTTTTCTCTTATTAATCTGTCTGTTGTTACAGGGGTCTGTCCCAGTTACAAACTTATGAGGGTTGAGGAGAAATTATATTTCTTCTCCTACAATTTCTTGAACTTCCTACTATAATGATTTCCATGGTGGTTTGTGATTCTCTACAGTTTTACTACTTATTCCAAGGGATATGGGGAAATTCCCCCAAAACTGAGCTCTTTTCCAATTCTAGTTCCTAGCACAGTGCCTCGCACAGAGACAGTAATCAAGAAATGTTTAAATCAATGCAAGACAAGCTCAACTCAATTTTCTTTTATATAAATACAATGTTTTCTAAATATGAGAGTTGCAGGGATTAGCTATTCCATTTTCCTTGACTACTGTGGAATGTGAGACTCACATTCATGACTCATGACATGAGATGCCCATGGTGTGTGTCTAAGGTACAATGCCCCACAAGTGACCGATCAGGGCCCAGACTCACCAGAGCCAACTCTCAGTGCACAGGGCTTGAGGACATGGCTCTGTGGAGAGGGAAAGGGTAGTCACAAAGCCCCCAGTGAAACAAACTGCTGGATGCCAGCTCCAGAAAAAGCTGGGACCGCTGTCCTCATCAAGTCAGCAGCTAAGTCATACATCCTTTGCTGTCCCTTGATTGTGCGGACACTCATCCCCCATCCATCCACTGAGAAATCTCCCTGGTGAAACCTCACATCACCTCTGTTCCTCCAGCCTGGCCAATGCCTTGAATAAAGCAGCACGTGCCTTTGGACGGGGCCATTGCAGAAACTGGTGTGATGCCTATTTTTCACTCTCCTTAAAAATAACCCAGCAGATTGTGAACTTCCTGCTTCACAGAAAAAAAATAGAACTCATACTCAGCAATCACATTGCACGTTAGTTCCCATTACTGATGAGGCAGTCAGATAACGAGTGCCCTGCAAAAGGACACATCTCCAAGTTTAGCTCTGAATATGAAAAGACAATCTGTCTGCGTGAATAGGCAATTAAAAGAGATGCCCTGATGTCATTGATACAGTCCTTGGATGTTGCTTTTCAGAGTTAACCTTGGATGAGTTCTGAATGTTAATGCCATCCCAAACCTCTGGGACCAAGAGCTGCAAAGAGAGGAGGCTGGTTGGTATAATGAAGGGGCTCTGTGCTGGGCACCAGACCTCACTATGTTCCTGTTTCTGCCAGCTGCTACTTGGGTGGTCTCGGCCAGGCTTTTTCTCCATTCTGGACCTGTTTCCTGAATTCCAAAATGAGGTTCCTTCTGAGCTGATGTCCTGTGGGCCTAGACTGGGATGCGTCACACTCCCCTTACTACATTTGTATATTAGAACCTTGCAGTCACACCATTTAGTGTAATAGGACATCCTGGGTTGCATCCACGAGGACTTAGAAAAAAGGGACCTCAGTGTACAATAATGCCTTTAGTAAAACAGACTCTCAGCAGGAAACCAAATAGAAGCCTTAGAACAAGCTTCCAAGGCTATTTTATTATGAAGAATGCATCTCTCTAGATCATGGCCACACGACTACCATCTTCATTTTGTATTTTTGGTTTTCTCACTTTTTATTCCAAAACAATTATAGATTCACAGGAAGTTGCAAAGATAGTACAGAGAGGTCCTGTGTACCTGCCACCCAGTTTCCCCCAATGGTGACATCTTATGTAACTCTAGTGCAATATAAAAACAGGGAAATTGACATTGGTTCAATGCGTGTGTATAGTTCTATGTCATCTTATGACATGTAGATTTGTGCAGCCACCATCACAATCACTCTTCTGTCACCACAAAGATCTCCCTTGTGCTACCCCTTCTTCCAACCACTAATTGCTTTTCCAGCTCTATAGTTTCATCATTTCAAGAATGTTATCTAAATGGAACCATATGGTAAATGGCCTTTGGAGACTGGCTTTTTTCACTCAGCATAATACCCTTTAGATCCATCCAAGGATGCTGCATGTGTCAAGTGTTTGTTCCTTTTTATTGCTCAGTAATATTCCCTTGTGTCCTGTCTCTTTTTAACCAAATATACAAGCATGTAAGGAGGTATGACAGGAAGACAGCTTGGCTCTGGCAGCTCATTCTCTGGTCATTGCTCTCAGAAAACAATTATGACTCCTGAGAGCTAGATGTGAGTTCTTTGACCTGCAGCGTATGTCAAAAGGAAGGAGCTGCAGCATCGAGGTAAGACTTCCCTGATGTTAGTCCCATAATTCTGGGTTAATTATGCATCTCTGAGGGCCACACTCCCACCTGGGCTAAATGGTCTTCCAGCTCTGCAGTAAGGTCCTTCTACAATTGACTGACTTCCAGATATCTCCCTGATGATGTAGGGCAGCGCTCCTCAAACTTACTATGTGCAAACCCCTGCAGATCTTGTTAAAATGCAGGTTCTGATTCAGTATTTCCAACAAATGTCCAGGTAAAGCTG